GGGGGGGGGGGAGAACCCGGGAAGAGGAAGAAGAAGAGGAAGAAGAAGAAGAGGAAGAAGAAGAAGAAGAGAGGGAAGGGCGTCGTTTCTGGCCCACAATTTGAGCAGGGGGAGGGGCAGGACCGGCTGCGAGTTAGCAATGTCTTGGAGAGCTAAAGAACAGATAAACAAGGCCAAGTTCGGCGAAGGTGTGAGGGGTTGGACGAAGAACTCACGCTCAGGACTATCTACGTAGTTGTCCTCTACACTAATCACCTCCACGTCATCATCCGGGTATTCTTCTAACTCGCTTTCACCCTCACTATCGATCCTACCCTCCCCATCATCATCATCCTCACTTTCTTCGGTGTCGGGTCGATCACCCGACTCCGAGCCCCCACTGAGCGAGTCCTGGTCGGAGGAGGACGGAGACTCACCAGGACGAAAGGCGGGCGTCCTACGGCGAGGAGTGGCGGCAGGAGGAGGCCCTCCAGGAGAACCCGTTACGGGGACGGGAGAACCAGCGGAGGGAGAGGCGGAGCGAGGGGGCGGGGCAGCGCCAGACGGCTCCCCCAGAGAGAGAGTGCCGAGGCCGAGGGAGGAGACTTGGCGAGATCTGTCGCCGAAAGAAACTGAACATCAGCCAAGTTCGGCGAGGTAGGGTGAGTATCGATGAAAACTCACGAGCAGATGACACCATACCACCAAAGTTCCTCATGGCGGCGAAAGGGCTGGGTGTAGGAGTAGAAGGGGCCATGACGTTAAGATATTTAAATGAGAATAAAACTCGAGGCGATGATTCAAGGTAACAAATCTGTTTTCTAGGTAAGAGAGATAGAAAGTTTTGAAAGCAGATGGGAAAAAGAGAGAAGCTCGACGAACTGCTCAGTATTTAGTATAATCAAACCTAACCCCTCGTCGTCAACATGCAGCAAACTTCGCGTTTCATCAACAAAAGGCATCGCAGGGACGATCAAAATTCCCACGCTATAGTGTCTCATCTCAATATAAGCGAGGGTTACTTCGACAAACAACGGTGTTGTTCGGCTGCCATTCAGGAAGCGTGTCTCACCTACAAAAGACACAGGGCTTCTTACGGCAAACCTCGACGAAGTTAGGGGAGTCTCATTGTCGGGTTCTGGAGTGAAAGGAGGCCCAACTACGAAGTGCGGCGCAAAGAGCAGAAGAGTGGAGGATGGTCATGGGGAGGGAGAGAATGGGGTACTACGCTGCTAAGTTCTCTTGCCACGACAGAGGTGTAATCGCTCACGAGGACGTTCGCGGCTAAAGAAGGGGGCGACTGTCACGAACTACGTCGTGACACCTCGATTACTCCACCAACAATGACCCTCCTTTGGCCATCAAAACCCCATCACGCCTTAACCTCTTTACTCTACACGTAACTCAGGACTTCTGACACCAAGTACGGCGAAGTTAGACGGAGTTAGGCTAAGTAGGGACAATGGGAGCAGAAGTACGGCGAAGTTAGACGGGGTTAGGCTAAGTAGGGACAATGGGAGCAGAAGTGCGGCAATGTTAGGCGGGGTTAGGCTAAGTAGGGACAATGGGAGCAGAAGTGCGGCGATGTTAGGCGGAGTTAGGCTAAGTAGGGACAATGGGAGCAGAAGTGCGGCGATGTTAGGCGGGGTTAGGTGAACTAGGGACAATGGGAGCAGAAGTGCGGCGATGTTAGGCGGAGTTAGGTGGACTAGGGACAATGGGAGCAGAAGTGCGGCGATGTTAGGCGGGGTTAGTCGAAGGACGGCCGGGACTCGGGGAAGTTGGACGAAGTGCGTTGAAGTACGTCTAAGCGCGAGAGGGTTGGGTGAAGATCTAGGAGGAGTAAATAATATTAGCTGAGAAGATCGCTGAAGTTCTTCAGCGATCCTTGATTGTTGTCAGTAGTGAAAGATTGATAGAGATAGCTACATACAAATTAAGATACATCGCCATCAGAGAAAAACCCCAGTTAGAGTAGCTGTTACGATCCGGTAGACCAGATCCTAACACCCATATTGAATCACACCTTCTTTACGGCGTATTACACGTATCACACCGCAAAGTGTATGCGTCTTAACGACTCCCACCTTCTTCCCGTCGTCTTAACGCTCTTCATGCAAAGTACAACGAATTGTACGCATCACGGCAAGAATGCAGTTCTTTCAGTTTGGTAGTTTGGTAGAATATAGTATAGGAACCGAGGAACACAACTCTTTCCTACGCAGGACGGCGGACCTCCCAAAATGGACTTGGAAAAGGATATAAACCCCTTGTACTTCTTTCATAGTTTCTTTTCTTCAGAGATCAATTATCATACGTTTCAACCTTTACTGACCAAGTCATCTAATACTGACCTAGACTTCAAGCTTGTCTTCCACATTGGCCCCAAGCCTATCTTCGTTCACACCTTGGGTCTCAATATAGTTATCAGACCTGCTTTTGTCATCATCATATTGGACTCCCTCATCGTCAGTAAGTCATCTCGTCCTGCGTATCAGAGTTCCTCTATCTCTCTTATCATCTTTGTCATCAACACATCTCTTCACATCACTTGTCCACCTGCCGTCTCTCCTCTGAGACGTACCAGGCCTAACAGTAGCTACGCCGAAGTACGCCGTAGTTACACTCCTTTTGACGTCTGCGCCCTCCTGGTTGGGTGAGACATCGACTTAGAAGCGTCAAGTTAGCCGAGGTTCGTCGACCGTCGGTCTGTTAGAGAGAAGTGTTCGACGGCCGTGACAGATCACCTGTCATGAACCCAGAGTGGCTCTGCCACACTGCCACAGTTGAACACATGCAAGATGCATGATGTGGGTTCTGTTATCACTCAGGCACAACCTCCACATACCTCCACCTTCCCAAAGTAGTAATTGTAGTGAATGCAATCAGCATTGCAAATCACCGCATGCCTCCATATGCCTCCACCTCCCTGAAGTAGTAATTATAGTGCATGCTTAATCAGCATTGCAAATCACAATGGCAGTATTGCAAATCCCCAACCAAGGATTGCAAATAAGGACTCAAGGATTGCCAATAGGACTTAGGGATTGCAAATACTAGTTTATTAGTTTAGTCAGATTGCAAATTATAGTTTAGCAGTTTAGTCAGTTTGAAGGGTATAAAAGGAGCACATCTCCCCCCTCTTTCTTCAGCAATATATCTTCATCTTGAAATTGAACTTCATCTTTGAAAGTCACCTAGTTGGTTCTAACCCAACACCTCAGTACCCTCAGTACCTAAGGCAGTCATCAAGCTCTACGAGCCAGAGACTAAAACCCTTAAGTACCCAAGGCAGTACTTTGGAACCGCAGTCTACCCGCAGGCGTGACATCACCATTCAACCTTAATCACCCTCCCATCACTGAGTCAACCTGACTCAACATTGTATACATCAATCACATCATCTGTCGTCATCTAGCATCATCTGTTGTCATCTGTTGTCATCCCAAGCTCCAGCCGACATGTACAGTTGCTGTCAAAAGTCTCCGTACAATCCGCGCGCGCGCATCGATCATCGGTTACTCACCACTTCTTCTATAGACATTTAGATGCATTTTTGCTAGTTCAATCATGTCCACAGCCCATCTTAGTACTTGATAGCGTACCTCTTAGCATGCTTGACAGCCTCAACCCTCCTTGGCATGCTATCCACCACCTTGTTGACAATATCCATGTCTATAGCTTCCCACTCCGCCACCCAATGGTCAAACAACTGCTTCACATTTGTCGCTCTTGGAAGGCGCTTGCTAACCTTGTACTTCACCATTGACCAGAGATTCTCAATAGGATCAACATCCGGAGATGAGGGAGGGTGGATAAGTGAATGGAGACCAAGTGTATCATGCTTTTGCTGACTGTGTTTCGCTTTGTGGCTTGGAGCGTTGTCTTCAACTACTAGGACCTGGGGACAATCAGCGGAATTTTGTCTTGTCTCTTGTCATGAACTCACCATTCGGTCAATCTCTGCAGACAATATCTCTTCATACTCCTTCAGCTTTGGTAAGACAATCTCGGAATAGCAAGCGGCATTGAGTCCTCCAGGAGGAAGAAGACTGAGAGGGAATTTATGATTATGTGCCATAGCACCCCATACCATGATAGACTTCCTCCCAGATCAAAATGTTGGTTGGAGATGTTTCAAATCAAATGCCTGTCCAACTCCTCGAGTTGTATAAGCACGCCTTGCAAGCCCCAACTCCAAAGACATCTCATCTGTGAAGATAACTCAGATCCAATCCTGTCCTACATTATCCTTTGCCCAATTGATCCGCTTTTTGATTGCTTGTGGGCGTAAGAAAGGGGTACGGCGCTTGACTCGGCGGTGGAGACCATGTCTGGCCGCAATGCAGCGGATGGTGGGTTCACTGAGGTTGTATGTGGAGGCAATAGAGCCAAAGGGAACTTGGGGATGATGGGTGATATCACGGATAATTTGACGAGTAGTTCTTTCCATCTTGGAAGGGCGTCCTGGGCGTGGGCAATCATAGGCAGTGTCATATCGTTTGTATCTTTTGACTGTATATTGGACCGTGATCGAGGCCAGCCTAGCTTGCGAGCAATCTGACCAAGTGTGAGGCCAGCTTTGTGAAAACCAATGACAGTACCACGTTTGAAAGGGGTTTGAGGGCTAGTGACCATGGTGAGGAAGATGGGTGGAGACGAAACCCTCTAGTACCCTTCTTATGCACTTTCTTGCTTTCAAATCTTGCATACACCTCCACCTCGGTCATGACTATCATTATTCAGCAATGCATGCATCAGTACGTAGCATAGGGGTCATAGGAACGGGGGATGTGACAGGGGTCGAGGACAAAACCGGGTGGTTGAGGTGTCTCCGATGATCGGTGTAAGGAAACTTTTGACAGCGACTGTACCAGGTTCCGTGTCCTTGGTTCCGCTCAGACCGGACGAATTGATAAGCGAGGGTACCTCAGGAGCAATATTAGCCGGATGGCCGGTTGTGTCACAGCTGTCGAAAAACTTCTCTCTACCAGACCAACGGTCGACGAACCTCAGCTAACTTGACGCTTCAAAGTCGATGTCTCACCCAACCAGGAGGGTGCAGACGTCAAAAGGAGTGTAACTACGGCGTACTTCGACGTAGTTACTCTAATTGGGGTTTTTCTCTGGTGGCGATATACTATCTCTAAGTCCATACTGATACTAAGTCATGATTCATGAGTCATAGCAGTACGGAAACTTTTGACAGCAACTATACATACTTGAGCGGATGAAAAATCACTTTGAGCAAACCCAATTGAAAAATCATAGAAGAGAAAAGCCCATCCCTACCTGAATCAGCTTCTCTCCCTCTTTGTCCTCTTCCCTTGGGTTTGATGACCTTGCTTTGACAAGTGTCACCCTGTAACACAAGATGGATATGTTTGTCACAAACCATCGTGACATCCCATCACCACGACTACACCACATCGTTTGAAACACCAATATCCGTCACCCATCCCTGACTACGACCTCCATTGGACCGGACAATATGATCACCCAGACCGGACTAAGTACAACAAAGTTGGGCTACAGGAAGTTAGGGGTATGAGGTGAGACCAACTTAGGTGAAGTTAGAATAAGGGGATTGGGAGCAGTAGGGTGGAGAACGGAAGTAAGCATGGAGGGATTGGGGATACAGCAAGGTACAGCAAAATTGGACGACAAGAGGACTGAGCATGAGGCAGTGCAGGAGTTGAGGGATATTCTATGAGGAGAGGAGAGAGGTATAGATAGGTCACAAATTGCTGAACTTCTTCAGTGATCCTTGATTGTTGTCAGTAGTGAGAGATATATTCAGTGTCACGAGACCAACTAACCAGCATTGGGACGATATGACAGTGCCCTTCAGAGACAGTGGTCTAAACCACTGCGCTAAAAGGCCTATTAACCGGCGGTTACTGCAAACCGCTGGTCGCTGGTTAAATACCCAACCCATCCTATCACTATCACTATCAAACTGTCTTGTCACTTCGTGACATTCAGTGGCTACATGTTACGGAGTAACAACGAATCGAGAGAACTCCATCGAGTTCGACGGATTAGGAAAGAGAACGGCGAGAGTTGGAGGCAGTGCTGCAGTAGGTAGGGACGGGTTTTCCCTTTTCGAGATTTCCCCACTGGGTTTGCTCAAAAGCGGTTTTTCACCTGGCCGAGTATGTACATAGACGCTTGCAGTAGGACTGAGAGGAGGACACGGACACCTGTAGACAGTATATAGTACAATCAGCAAGGTACCAACTTTGCTGATTCTTCAATATCATTCTTTGGCTACATCGATTGCAGAGGAGACACGATCCATCACATAGCACCAGAGACACATAGATTTCTACGAGACCTCCATCGAGTTCGACCCAACCTGCGACCTAGTCATCGTGTTTCCAGTACCGTTACACTACAACCTTCGAGTTAGGGAGAGCTACCACCCAGCAGTTCAATGTACCACGGCGAAGTTAGCCGTAGTTCATTGACAATCATCTTATTGTTCACCACTTGATGCATTACTACGGCGTAGTTAGCCTTAGTTCCCCAATGATTATCCTGTCTGTGTGAGACATTGGCGCCCCAGTATGACATACTTAGCCAGGTTTGTCAACCGTTGGTCAGTAGAGGAGAAGAATTGACGATTGTGACACAATGAACTTGACCTCCATTGGTTTCTGCCCAACTCCATATGACCTTTCCCCAGCCCACATTGACAAAAACTATGCTTGTTTTTCATCATCAATGCAATCCAGTCAGCCATATTGGAGGTGAGGACCAAAATATCGACCGCCACACTGCCACACAACCTCCATCCACGCGAGAATCCGTGTGCGAGCAGACTTTGAACCTCCCCAACCTGTGCTTTCTTCACACGGACGTCTTCCAACCTCTGCATTCGTTTAAAACACTCTTGACTTAGTAATCTTGCATTTGAAACTTTACCTACGGATTGAAACTTTACTACAGCTTGATGATGGTACCTCAGCAATCCTGTTGCGGAGCAGAAAACCCCTTGGGGGAGGGGAGCGACCTTGAGACAGCCCCTTGGACGGGATTAGATGACATTAATGTCGCCCATATCCCTATTGATGATTTCACTCTAGCAGAACCCTACCTTCATGATGGCACTTCAAGTGTTGACCCCTTGCCAATCTCAAGTTTGTACAAAAAGAAGCCCATTCCTGATAATCTCACGGTCCAAAGCCATCGGAACACCCTCCTGATGATTCTCAGAGGTTGTTACGACCTGGTAAGCCAGCTTGTAACACCAAGTCCCATGATCTCTGAACAATCCACCTGAAGCCCTTCAACCCAATCACGCCTCATAGCTCCTACAAACTACGAGTAACTTCGTCACCAACCGACAACCACCAATATCATTCGATACCCTTTGCTCACCAGTGATATCCTTAGACAAGCACCGACAACCTACGACCGTCTCTCGACGCATAGCAAAGCACTGCGGTGCAACACATGTACTTGCACCGCAATGCATGCAGACCTCCGACCAGACTCGATGGATCTCAGAGCATAGCAATGCAGTGCATAGGGAAGAGCCGAATGTATCGTAGCAGAGCAATGATAAGCATAGGAAGGCGCTAGAAATCCGGTGGCCTGCGGAGCAGGCCTCCTGGGACCCTCTGTAGACTATTTAAACCCTACATCTTCTTTCCATAGTTTCTTTTCTTCAGAGATCAATTATCATACGTTTCCACCCTTTACTGACCAAGTCTTTGATACTGACTTCAACTTCAACTTGTCCTTCAACATTGGTCCCAAGCCTTAATCTGTTCAACACCTTGGGCCCAATATTGTCATCGGACATCCTCTTGTCATCATCCTAGACTCTCTCATTGTCAGTAAGTAATCTTGTCCAGTGTATCAAAGTTCCACTCTCTCTCTCTCTCTTCATCATTTTACATCACTTCATCCTCAACTCTTCCATCTTAATCACTCGTCCACCTGCTGGCTTTCCCTTAAGACAACCAGGCTTAACAGAGGTCTACCCGCACCAAACACAGCTCCAAAGGCAACTCTCTGGGGTCGTGAACTGTCAATGCATCCTTGTGGGGAACTGAGTCCTTTCAGTCATTGGGGTTATGGATGTTATGGACAGCCAGTGTTCACCTATCTACCGGACAACTGGAACAGGTGTGTCAATCCTGTCTGTGCACCTGCGGGTCATGGCTCGATACCCATTATTGTCAGTGAAGGACCATCAAACCTTCTTCCAGAGACGCTGTACATAGCAGGAAGCTCTCCTGATCTTCAACTCCAGTTTTTGAACTTCAGGATGAACCCATATTTTACCAGCACTGCTGTCTCCTGTGGCGGATACCAAACGCTCCCGTCCTTCTGCATCCCATCATCTCACCCATATGAACCTCCCATCCTCCCACCTCCATATCTGACGCACGGCTACAAGAGTGGGCCATCCAACGCGGAGCATTACCCGGGCTATACATACCCCTTTCAGGGGGGAACTCTGTTTCCAGTTTTACCTTCTGAACATCTTGTGAGGGTAGCCACTCCATTCTTTCAACTTTCCCCCTACCCACAGGAAGGGCCTTGGTCATCTTACAGCAAGGCTTCAGCAGGGGAGGACAAGCCAAAATGGTCCCCGCCACCTCATTTATCAGAATCTTCCGTCTATAGGCAACAGCCTTTTGACCCTTTCCAAACATGAAGGACAACATGTCAAGAATGGTTTAAGACCACAACTCATCCATACTTCTGTGAGATTGTCTCACATCCACGCCTTTCACGTCTCTCCTTGTAAAAAAGTCACCTCATAAACATTAAGCATGCTCATGTTTCATGCCACTCACCCCTGGAGAATCGTTGCAGGCATTGGCAGTGTACAATGATGAAGAGGTGTTTGGTCAGGAAAGATGGAGTCATGATAACATAGTTGTGGTTTGTTTCCTTATCACATTCCACTCACACGCAGTAAACCAGAGACGATCGAATAGAGTTCAGAGGATAAGTTGAACGGAGAAGTATTCGACGGAAGGGGTAATAATCTAACGGCGGTTCGGCCGTCCTGGCCCGATTCTATCGGCTAACAATCTCTCAGCTCTACCATGTCAAAACACTTGATTAGGGTACAAGACATGCATACAGTAAGAGGTAAGACCCCACTCACCCCGGTAAGTGGAGCAATTGATATTCAAGGTGCTTGATTCTCTAGCATCTTCATAAAGCTATGTTGACCTCCTGTCATGAATCACGCCATCACGTGTTCCTTGTTGCGCAAAACAAGTTCAACCTCCACTTTTGTGTTTTAATATTTCACCTCTGCTCTCATGCCTATCAGGCGTAAACTCCAAGTATCATTCTAGTATGTCGGTGCTCAGCTCCCATGCCTGCAAGGCATAAGTCCCCAGTAATTCTCTAGTCTCTAGTTCCTCTGTTCTAATGCCTGCTAAGGCATAATCTCTCAGTCTCTTGTTCTCGCAGCACTTCTATGTTCTGCATAGTTCCTCATAGTTCCTCATTGACCACCTTCGACAAAGTCGAGCGACTTCCGGCGCATCCCGTAGGATGTCATAGTAGGACATAGGTAAACGCAGATATGGCATCGAAGGACATCAGTGGTTATCGGTGGGATGCATGGCAATGCATGCAGGACAGTGCAGGACGGTTCAGAGCGCTCGTATTCCGCAGGTCTGCACGAGCCTCTTGGAAAAGGCTGATTTGTCTATATAAACCCTATCTTGTACTTTGTAGTCTTCTTTAGTTCTTGATCAAAAGTCATTTCCATTGCCACCCTTTTGGAGTCCAGTCCAGTCCAGTCCATTCCAGTTCCCTCTAGTCTTGTCAGACAAGCCAGAGACATTCTTTGGGTCACAGTCCCATTCCTTGTTGGACTCAGTCTTGTTATCTTAAGTATATTTCTTGTCACTCCTAGTCCTTGTCCCCTTGTCCTTTGTCCTCTGTCCTCTGTCCCAGGGTGGGCAGTATCCTTGACACCTCCCCATTTCAAACTCAGCCATACAAAAGAGCGAAAAGTCATTTTAAACTCCAAAATCTCCATCTCATTTTATGGTCTCCTCATCTCATTTCTTCATCAAACCATCTCCCAACCGTGTCTTCCACCGACCTGATACCAATCGAATCGTATTCAGCAACCATCACGTTCGTACGGATCTATTGTACATGAGTTCAATCATCGCCAAAGAAGACTTGCACAACAAAAATTCCTATTTTGCCGGACAAACAATGAATTTTGGACAGAGCACTAGACGTTACTCAGAGGGGGATGCTCAATCTCTAAGGGTTAGTATACCTCAGAGAAGTTGTTCTGCTCCTCCTAGATTGAGCAGGGAGAATCATGTTACGATATCCCCCTGGTCTCCTTCCTCATCGATGAACGTTCAGGCACTTCATGACACCTTTGAAACCCCTTCTGGGATGAATCGCGATAGCTCTTGTGTGATCTACGAGACTGGAAAAGGTGGCTTGTCGCATGAGGAACGACCAGCATCTTTGGAGCGTGAATCGCATAGACCGGCATGGTTGAAGGATCGACGATCAAACCTTCCAGGTGAAAAACCAGTTGCAGGAATTTTGTTCTCTGGTGGTCCACCATCCGCCTTGAGTGAACAAAGTCAACACGAAACATTCAAGCAAGTGAACCCCTTTCCTGTCTTTGGTTTAAGAAAAGACCCAGCTTCAACTGTTAGCCGATAGAATCGGGCCGGGACGGCCAAACCGCCGTTAGAATTACCCCTTCCGTCGAATATTTCTCCGTTCAACTTATCCTCTGAACTTTATTCGATCGTCTCTGGTTTTATGCGTGTGAGTGGAATGTGATAAGTATAGAGACATGTAGAATTGATGCATGCTCTTTTTCCCCTCTGTATTATCATCTAATTATAAGCGTTAACAGATTAACAGTCGGAAGACCACATACCTCTGTGTATAATATAACAAAGGCAAGTTCCCATTTCTACTCTCCTCATAATGACCTCTGTGTCGTCTAAGATCTCTCTTGAGAACCACCCAAAGTTATCCCACGATCCAGCATCGTATGCTCCGTGGAGGAAGTCGATCGAGGTGTATCTACAGATAGGTGACGTGTGGAATATCGTCACAGGTAATGATACCGAACCTGGTCGCGTAGGGGTTAGATCGGCAGCTGAGAGGGCGGGATCAGTACCTCCTACCACGCCCGTCGAAGGGCAAGTGGCTGGTAGAAGGATTACTGGAGAAGAGTGGAAGGAATGGGAAAAGTGGCAAGCGAGGGAGAATAAAGCGCAGGGGATGATCAAGGGAACAGTGTCGGATGCTGTGATGCTTGATATATCTGAGAAGATGTCAGCTAAAGAAATGTGGGACTACTGCATAGCCCTGCATGTAACAGCGACGATCGAGAATCAAAGGAATGTCCGTCAAGCGTTGTTTAGCTATGACTTAAGGGACGATGTGACGGCCGACGAAATGGCCAAGCATGTAGAGGATTTCTCGAAGACGATGTCCGAAGCGAGATTGGTAGGGTTGAAGTTTGACTCACAGGAACGAGCTGGGTTATTCCTCAATACCATTCTAGCACCATCCTACAGGATCATTCAGATCGAAGTAACATCCCTCATAGCAGAGGAAAGAACTTGGGAAAAGGTCTTATCGATCTTCAATAAAGAAACGGCGAGACGTAAAGCGCGCCCTGTTGGTAGAACCAATAGGAAGGGATTCGCGATGTTCGTCGAAGGAAATAAAGGAATGAGGGTGAACCGAGATAATATCTCTGATGGTCAGCCCAGAAAAGAAACCAGAAAGTGTTATAACTGTGACACTGTAGGACATCTAGCGAAGTACTGTCGTAAACCTAAAAGAGAGGATACGAACAGGAAGGAAAACGCAGATGGAAAGGATGGAGGTAAAAAGAAATGGAGGAATAATAATAATAATAAGAATAATAAGAAAGGACATACGGTCTCGAAGGATGAGAACCAGTCCAAGGATAACTCCAAAACCTCCTTGATGTATTCGTCATTGGATGGTGAACATGAGGCGTGGGCCGGGATGGCCATGTCGACAGAATCGTGGTTCGATGATGACGAAGGGTACACGAGTAATATCGTATGGCCCGAAGAAATTGAAAACCCGTGGGTTGAGGATAAGGATAATGAGTGGGTGGGGTTAGCTACAGAGTCTAATGATGTAAGCCACACTCGTGTAATCCCCACTTGGGTAGTGGACAGTGGTGCTACTCACCACATAACTCCTCACAGGTCGATAATGACGAATATTAAAAGACTAGTGGAGCCGAGAGTGTTCGGACTAGCATCTGGCAAGTCAATGACGGCTTGGGAAACAGGTGACATTAACCTCGAACTAGATTCAGGACAGAAAATGGTACTGAAAGATGTACATCACGTCCCCACAGCGAAGATAAGTCTTCTATCCCTCTCGAAGTTACTCTCATGGGGATGGAAGGCGAATCTAAGCAGCAGTGGTGGATGGATAGGTAAAGGTAAAGAGAAACTAGGTTTGAGGAAACATGACTCACTATGGTCGGTACGATTCGGCAGAGCGATGTCTGCCGCGATGATCGTGATATCGACACCGAAGGCGACTTCACCACTTGAATCTGAGCATCAGCGACTCGGACATATAGGTGTAGATAAACTAAAGAGTCTAGGTAGACAGGGACTATTGAAGAAGGACTGGGACACTTACAAGAACGATCCCTTTACAACCGATAAATGTCCCGCCTGTATGCAGGCCAAGATAACACGTCTACCGAAGAATAAAGAAGCACCAATGTTAAAAGGAGATGGTGAAGGAGTAGGAATGGATGTCGATATTGCTGGCCCGTTCGGTCCGGCGATAAAAGGTGAACGATATTTCTTCGTTGGTGTAGAAAGGGCGAGTCGAATTGTGTTCGCCGTACCGATAACGACGAAGAACGAATCGTCAGATATCGTTCGACAGTGTATCTCGAAATTAGAGAAACAGCTTGGTGAAAGGGTGAGGGTGATTAGGTCTGATGGGGGAGGTGAATTCGATAGCCTCGATATGAGGGAATTCTACCTATCAGCAGGGATCAACCACTACATCACACCAAGATACACACCAGAATTAAATGGAGTGGCGGAAAGAATGATACGTACCTTGAAGGGGATGGTATCAACGATGTTATTCGACTCAGGACTACCGAACGAATATTGGTCCTATGCTGTCAGATACGCCGCCATTATAATTATGAAAACCTCGATTGGTGTCAGTGGTAAATCAGGCTGGACATCACTCACAGGAAGAGACACGAACTTAGATAGTGTGTGGAGATTTGGTGAACGATGTTTCGTTCAGATACCAAGAGAGATAAGGCTGAAATCGAACTTCACGATACCTAGGGGTTCGTCAGCCATTATACTAGGTCAAGATGAGGGTGTGAGCGGTTGGATCGTTAGAATGGACGGATTGGGACGAATCGAACACTCACGAGACGTTCGTCGCTCGACAGGACGAATGGTGGCTACTAGAGAGTCGCCAGATGTCATCCAAACCCCTCTTGACGCCATCGAAGTGGATCTAGACCCCGTCGTCAACGAAGAAATTTTCCCTGACGACCGCTCAGAAAGTGGCGAACAGGAAAATATCGATAATGAACAAGGAAATGATGTCGATAGAGACAACTCACCTAATACAGGCCCACAACCTACTGAAAGACGACGAGGACAGGGCATTTGGGGAGGAAATTGGATCTATGAGAACGATATCGTCGAAAATGAGAGAAATGATGAGGAAGGAAGAAATGATGGGGATGAGGGGATCCTGACGACACGTCACGGACGAATTATTCGACCCCCCCACCGTTTTGCAGGCCTAACAGACTCGTTCCTAGACTTTGGTCGCGAGCCTAATAAGTTAGTCTCACTCGCCTCTATCGCAGGTATCGAAAGTGATACTTCTCTCATTGATCCTATCTCTCCTGAAGAAGCAGTAAACGGCCCAGATGGTGAGAAGTGGCTGGAATCCATGGAGAAAGAGATATCTAACATCGAATCTAAAGAAACATGGGTGGAAACGGTGTTACCACCGGGCCGTAAAGCCATTGGATGTAAATGGGTATTCAAAGTGAAGACAGATTCAGAAGGAAACTTACTAAAGTATAAATCCAGACTAGTAGCTCAAGGATTCTCACAGGTACCAGGTGTCGACTACGAAGAGACATTCGCACCTGTCGGTAGATCGGGGTCGTTACGAATACTCTTGACTATAGCGGCCACCGAAGATCTCGAAATTCGTCAGGCCGATGTCGAAGGGGCGTATTTAAACGGTAAACTCGATGTAGAAATTTACATGAAGTATCCCAAGGGGATAAAACCGAAGCCTGGATGTAATACCTTGAAGTTAGTTGAGTCTCTTTACGGTTTAAAGCAATCTGGCAGGACATGGTGGATAGAACTCGGCGAAGGATTATCTCACCTAGGTTTTTCAAGAATCGAATCAGATTGGGGTCTTTACTACAGACCAGAAGGGAAAATCGAAGGAAAGGGAGCAGCAATACTGCTAGCCTATGTCGATGATCTGGTATTAGCCACGAAGTCGAAGGAAGAAGCGAAGGAAATTTTCGATGGGCTAGGTAAAAGGTGGATAATAACCGACCTGGGGGAGATAAGTACTATCTTAGGTGGCAAGGTAACAAGGAACAGAGAAGAAAAGACAATATGGTTAAACCAACCAGCATATATCGATAAGATAGTTCAGAAGTTTCCAGAAAACGACTTACATCGAGACCGAAAAACGCCATTACCCCTTACTGCGAAAAATCCATCGATGTCGGAGGTGGAGAGTGAAATTCGACCATTTCAAGAATTAATAGGATGTCTACAGTGGTTAGCCACATGTACTCGACCCGACATATCATATGCCGCCTCATACCTTGCTAGGTACCTCACTAAACCGACGAAGAAAGTATGGGAAGAAGGGATAATGGTAATTACCTACCTTCGGTCCACTCGTTTACATGGTATTCGTCTCGGTGGCGAGGCTAGCGATCTAGCAGGATGGGTTGATGCCGATTGGGCAGGTTGTAAAGACACACGACGATCAACTACAGGTTGGATATTCATGATGAACAACTCACCGATAACCTGGAGTTCAAAAAGACAAGCTACAGTATCGTCGTCGACAGTCGAAGCAGAATACATCGCGATGGCTGAAGCAGCGAAGGAAGCTCAGTGGTTGAGAGGATTATTGAGGGAGATAGGCTACGATCAGCTAAATCCTACTACATTAAACTGCGATAACCAAGGATCGATATCACTGGCGAGAAAACCTGGTACTCACCAGAGGACAAAACATATCGATATTCGACATCATGCTCTTCGAGATCTAGTCAGTAATAAAGTTATTGAACTAGCATACGTCAGCACTGTCTATCAGAGAGCAGATGTACTTACGAAAGCTTTAGGTGGACCAGTACACTCGGTGAATATGTCAGCGATACGTGTAGAACCACCGAAGAAGAAAAACACTGGTTCAGTATACGTGACATTAGATGATGATGAAATCATCGATTACGATTATTCTGATTTCGAGGATCTAGGAGATCTGTCAGGTGGTACAGAGAACGAAGTGGTACCAGAGAGAGAAGTAGTACCCGAAGGAGAAGTGTGGGTGGAAGGAACTTCAGAGAAACCCACCGAAGGAAAAGTTCTCGTGAGCCAAAATGTAAAATTTTCAGGTGTACCTAAGAATGTGAGTAATTCGAAGATAGGTCAAAAACCACCGGTAGAACCTAGAGTCATTAGAGAGATGAAAGAGAAGAGTGAGAGAAGGGATAAGATGATACATAGTGGAGGTTCTACTCAACCTCCATCGTCAAATCCACGAATTTCGGGAACTTGGGCTGGTAACCAGCGACTTTATAACCACCGAGGACAGCCTCGATCTTTTCGTGGAGAGAGTCAACAGTATCGACGATCTCTTGTACCCTCGCATGGGTACCACCATCTTCCAATAGAGCGTTCCCTAGCAAAAGGAAATGTTTATCGAGGTTCGATTTCAAGATCCCCAGTTCAAATTGTACCTTCTGAGAAAGATCTCAAACTCAATAAAGTTCATGACATGACGAGCAGTAATAAACTTACAGTCGGGAGGATTGCTGGGGAGCAACCTAAGGACAGGACGATCAGACGGTCCAGGAACCGAGGGAGTAGCGATAGTCGCGAGAACAGCAGGAGAAATTTGGGACATGATGATTTCGCTACTAATGATAGATATCGTCAGCCTGGTACTGGAAGCAATTTCATCGATTCTCGGGATCCTACTAGCAAACCTGAAGTTTTAAGAAGCAGACAGGATAAAGGGAAGTTCAGAGAGTCACAAATGAGAGATAGAAGTGGAGAAAGACGAAAGGTGGACATACCGTTAATTGGAGGTAAAAGTGATGAAGTAAAAGGAAAGATAGAGAAGAGTCAGTCGTCAGTAGTGAGTGGTAGCCACGTGTCAGAGCGGAGCCCCGCGGGGGGCCCCACAGAAATTCATTTCACGATTTCACCTACCACTACTACCACACACATAACACTCAATATTTCATCATTACTACCTTCTACATCATCACAAACCTCGCCGTCGCCATCGATAAATCGTCCGGGACTACTGCAGAGTCGTGCATTGTCCCGTGGGGGAGTGTTAGCCGATAGAATCGGGCCGGGACGGCCGAACCGCCGTTAGAATTACCCCTTCCGTCGAATATTTCTCCGTTCAACTTATCCTCTGAACTTTATTCGATCGTCTCTGGTTTTATGCGTGTGAGTGGAATGTGATAAGTATAGAGACATGTAGAATTGATGCATGCTCTTTTTCCCCTCTGTATTATCATCTAATTATAAGCGTTAACATCAACTACCATCGACGACCATGGCCCACGTCCAAGCTCTCCACCTCTATCCGCCCTTTCAAACCACTCACTTTCAACCTCATCACACCACTTCGACGGCTCGGATCCTACGCTCACTTCCTCAACCCCCGTTTTGTCACCCGCTCCGATTGAGTGCGGTTATACTGTTGAAAGGGAACAAACCCTAAATTGCACGCCGTCTCAGAAAATTTATAATCAACTCCTTTTCATGGATATGACCTCCCTCTGAGTAGTGTTCATGACTTTGATTTATATGTCATTTCGTTCACACGGATCTTGGCCCATGAGAGGGAAACGTGCAGATCGCCCGAGACTTGGGATTCGAAGGACAAGTTCTCTCAAGAAAGCTGTAGCAGGTGGGACTTAGTATTCTAAACTGATTTTATTTCTGAGCATGGGTAATTTGGGAAAGAGAGGTGTAAAGGAAAGTATAATTTTCCCCACCCACTAGATGGGCATCCGGCGTCGGGACTTGCTCTTCGGCCATCGTCGGAGTTGGAGGATGTTTGACAAGCAACCTCTTCCGTGGTCCAATCTGTCTACCATATAACAATTCTTCATTCGTCAAAATCCCCCTCCTCCATCAAACAATGTTTCCTCTACTGACATCTTATTACAACACTCTTACTTGCACCATGTCAAACACCTCATCACAGCTTCTGGTAGGATCATCCACAAGTGTGACGGACACACATTTCATTCTCCAAAGTCTTTCCTGTAGTGCAGCCGTACGTGACCACTTTGAAAGTTTAAGAAATTCCATCAGACTGGATCAGAATCACAACTACTGTGTTCCCAAGGAAGCGCTTTGCACCTATGGGGTACCTGTTCACACTGGAGATGCTTTCCTTACCAATGAACAGTGTGGAGATAGTGGAGAGAGAAAGTTCTCCAACCTTACATACTGGTGTCCGACACACTCTTTGTACGCCCCACCAATGTCTGTCAAGTGGGAAAAAATTATCAATTCAGATTCTCTAGTCATTGAAGAGATCTACTGTCATCAACACTTTTGGTCCCAATTGACTACCTCTTATAATGAAGATCCTAGAGGTTCATGGTTCCTAGCAATGGCCCCAGGTGAAGCTATGGTGAGTGTTTCAGGTACCTGTTCTCAATGTGAAAATGAGGGTAAGTCATACTTTTCCACTACTGGAGGGGGAAGGGGGAGAAGGATTTGGGGAATGAGCTATCACTGCAATGAGCATGTCCCGCAGCTGACTGCAAATCTCATCTCAGCTGATGACAAAAGTTTTACAAAGCCGCCACAGCTGCCAGACATTACTGTTACAGGGTAACAACGAATCGAGAGGACTCTATCGAGTTCAACGGATTAGGACAGAGGAAAGCGGGAGTTGGAGGCAGTGCTGCAGTAGGTAGGGACGGGTTTTCCCCTTTCGAGATTTCCCCACTGGGTTTGCTCAAAGCGGTTTTTCACCTGTCCGAGTATGTACGTAGACGCTTGCAGCAGGAAGGGGACAAGGACGAGGATATCCGTAGACAGTATATAGGATACTTTGCTGATTCTTCAATATCATTCTTTGGCTACATCGATTGCAGAGGAGACACGATCCATCACATAGCACCAGAGACACATAGATTTCTACGAGACCTCCATCGAGTTCGACCCAACCTGCGACCTAGTCATCGTGTTTCCAGTACCGTTACAATTACCTGGACAGTGCAATTGTACTCCGGGGTAAGGCACTTTGGGGAACAGTGAACTCAAGGGAGACCAGTGGTGACTACCAGAGATGTCACGCCTGGAGGTAGACTGAGGCTGTGTCATGAACTCGGGGTGGCTCTGCCACACTGCCACAGTTAAACACATGCAAGATGCATGATGTGGGTTTTGTTATCACTCACGCACAACCTCCACATGCCTCCGCCTTCCTGAAGTAGTAATTGTAGTGCATGCTTAATCAGCATTGCAAATCACCACATGCCTCCGCCTTCCTGAAGTAGTAATTATAGTGCATGCTTAATCAGCATTGCAAATCATCATGGCAGTATTGCCAATCCCCAACCAAGGATTGCAAATAAGGACTCAAGGATTGCCAATAGGACTTAGGGATTGCAAATACTAGTTTATCAGTTTAGTCAGATTGCAAATTATAGTTTAGCAGTTTAGTCAGTTTGAAGGGTATCAAAGGAGCACATCTCCCCTCTCTCTTTTCAGCAATGTATCTTCATCTTGAAGTTGAAATTCATCTTTGAAAGTCACCTAATTGGTTCTAACCCAATGTCACGCGGCACCGCGTGACATCATCTTTCCCCATCAACGAGGTTCCTTTGGACATCAGTTCGCCATCAACGATCCAGTTCTCATGAACTTCATCACCCACGAGGGTATTAGGAGGCTAACTTCGTCGAGGGCGAAGTTAGTCATGTAGGAAGTTAGGGAGATACAAAGTTAGGGGGATACGAAGTTCGTGAGGTACGAAGCTCGGGACTTCGGGTTGAACGAAGTTCTGCGTTGAAGAAGTTAGGGAAGGACGAAGTACTTAAGGGCTGAAGTTCCCAGAGATCTTTGACGATCTCGATCTCTGGTTGTTGTCTTAGTGATAGAAGTTGGTAAAGTACGAAGTTATTACGCCCAGAAGTTATTGTCACCTATTTCATATTTTGAACAACGAGGTAGTTAAAGGTTGAAGCCCACGAAGTTATTGGCTGTCGGTCCTAGCAAGTTAACGAAGAAACAACCCTGTGACAGTACCAGAGATCGTCCTTACCGACTCTCCAGTAACTCGTGGGAAGATATATGTGGACGGACTAGAGGAAAAGAGAGAGAGAGAAGAACGGCTGAAGCAATGTCGAGGAACGAACAGGGAGATAATCAAGGTAATCTAGAACCTCGCGGTTCTAGGGATTCATCTTTTCTCTCCCAGCCACCTTCTGACGCATACTTGGGCGATCCATGGGTTGAGGAGGGTGGTCAAGGGAGAAGATTAGAGGAAGAAGATGGGGGGGTCAACTGGTGGAAGAAGTTCGTATACATCGCGACCTAGGGGAAGGAGCTCGCCGGAGAGATTTAAAGAAGATATTAGAGATGGGATGT